ATGAGGGTCCAGGCCTAGGAATGACTACTCTAATCAGGACTCAAATCTCCAGCTTTTAGAGAGAGAATGCTGGATCCCAGCCTTCAGGAGCCGGCACATCCTCCCACAGCTCCAGGCCAGGTGGGGAAGAGATACAGGTGAGGCACAGAAAGCAGCATGCCACTGACCAGCTGCATGACTCATTATGGTTTTAAAAAGTATTTATTTAATTAGATCATAGTCTTAGTAATTAGGTTATTAATAATTATTTAGCATTTATCTATTAATTATTAGTATATAATGATTATGGTATCAATATAATATTAATAATATTATTAGATTAGTATAGATTGTAGTATTGGTGATTAGGTTATGCATACTTATTGGTTATTAGTGTATTGTTATTGATGTGTATATATGTATTGTATATGTATTAATGGTATGCTTTTTTCCTTTTTCCCCCATCTTTTATTGTGACAAAATACACATAAAATTTACCATCTTAGCAATTTTTTTAATGTTTACTTATTTTGTAAGAGAGATAGGGCACATGTGAGCAGGTGGGGGGAGGGGCAGAGAGAGAGAGAGAGAGAGACAATCCCAAGCAGGTCCTGTGCTCTCAACACAGAGCCTGATGGAGCTTGATCTCACCAACCTCGAGATTTTGCAAACACTTTTACAAGTAATTTATTGGCCTATGTTTAACCTTTACTTAATTGGTCCTCAGTCACTTTATTAATTGATGCCCAATGCCACGAAAAGCTCGGCTTCTACATTTACAGACTACTAAGAAAATGATTAAGATGTGTACACACAGGAGGAAGATTCTCACCACAATTCAGGTGATGAGATGCTTTAAGTATATGAAGGGCATCCACACAGCAAAGGAATTCTGTTTGTCTGAGGGAGGAAGCCCATGATGGCAAAACTGGGATTCGTGGGGATGGGAGCTACAGGAAGGAAGGTATCCATTTGGTACAAGGAAAAACTTTTAACAATTAGAATTCTTTTTTTTTTTTTAGGCTTTCATGCATTTATTTTTCTTTCATTCATAGTTTATTGTCAGTTGGTTTCCATATAACACCCAGTGCTCATCCCAACCAGTGCCCTTCTCCATGCCCATCACCCCCCTTCCCTCCTGCCCACCCCCATCAGCCCTCAGTATATTCTCAGTATTCAAGAGTCTCTCATGGTTTGCCTCCCTCCCTCTCCCTATTTTTCCCCTTCTCCTCCCCCAAGGTTCTCTGTTAAGTTTCTCCTGATCCACTTATAAGTGAAAATATATGGTATCTGTCTTTCTCTGCCTGACTTATTTCACTCAGCATAACACCCTCGAGTTCCATCCATGTTGCTACACATGGCCAGGTTTCATTCTTTCTCATTGCCATGTAGTATTCCATTGTATAGATAAACCACATCTTCTTGATCCATTCATCAGTTGATGGACACTTAGGCTCTTTCCATGATTTGGCTATTGCTGAGAGTGCTGCTATGAACATTGGGGTACATGTGCTCCTATGCCTCAGCATTTCTGTATCCCTTGGGTAAATCCCTAGCAGTGCCATTGCTGGGTCATAGGGGAGTTCTATTGTTAATTTCTTGAGGAACCTCCACACTGTTTTCCAGAGGGGCTGCACCAGTTTACATTCCCACCAACAGTGTAGGAGGGTGCCCACAATTATAATTATTTCCAAAGAAAGATTAAAACAAAGCACTGTGGGAGGTGGAGAGCTCCTGAACACTGAAGTACTGAATCAGGAGGTGGAAGTGTCACCAGTCAGGATGCAAGGAGGGGTTTGATATGAGGTCAGAGGAGGTCCCACACCCAGGTCTAGGACTCTGTGATGGTGTGGGCTAGAAAGCTCTGTACCTTATTTGGGCAGACTTATCGTCTGTCGAAGGCCAGGTAAATGTTTTTCAGACTGGATTAAGGAGGGAGGGTTTCTATCTCTGAAGACTTGTTCCAGAATATTCCCAGTGGCTTCAACAGGTAGTTACCAAAACAGAGCATGTGCATGAACTTATTTACACAACAGAGGGGCCTCAGTCACAGGGCTGCAGTAAATACCATATGGGCAAATAGGCGAATATGCTCAAAAGGGAGCCTTGGTTTAATAAGTGTTAGAGATTATTATTAGCATGATAATGCATGGAAACTAGATGGGCAGTTTCTTTCTCAGAACACAGTTATTAAAAAGCTAGAGAAATTACTGGAAAGAGGGTTTCTGGCTGGCACAGTTAGCAGAGTATGTGACTCTTGATCCTAGGGTAGTGAGTTCAAGCTCCACATTGGGTGTAGAGCCTACTTAAAAAAAAAAAGGACTCTTCTCAGAAATTACAAGACATCTATGAAAATTGGCATTGGTAGAGTAGGGGGAGCTAAGTGTTTGAGTTTAGAAACTAAAACTTGGTTAACATCCCCACTTCTCCAAGTACAGAAATAGTAACATTGCCTAATTCCATATTCAGTTACAAGTTACAATAATTTATGTTAAATAGCATATACTTTACAGTATACGTTTACCTCTTTTGTGTATATATGGGGATATATGGGGTAAATATTTATATGTATATTTATAATTACTCAAGTCTTCATTATCCAATTCCTTGAAGTTAGGAAACTGAGCAGTGAAAATATTTTTTAATAAACAAGTCACTTATAACATTGGTCCCTACTAAAACATTTTTCAGCTAACACTCCTATCTTACCAATTAGGTCTATGGGAGTCAATCTCTTGCTATTTAAAAAATTTAGGAAATATAGTAAAACTGCCAAACTTGCAAAAGATGGAGGATTTCATGAATTCTCCAAAATACTATTGGAGAATTGCTTGCATTTCAAGCAAAGAAATCGGCAAATAAAGATGTGGCACGTTTAAACCAGTTTACAATTGAAAAATCGCTCTAAGAAAGGCATGTTATATAAGCCCCTCAGAAAAAAATGATTTAAATATCAAAGGATAAAGAAAAGCTTTAGGAAAAACTGATAAACTCTTAAATATATTGCAAAAGGAACAAACAAAACTCCCAAACCTGACCTCTTCTGTGATGGTGCTTTAAAAGCCAAGTAAAGTGAAAGATGTTCTGGTATATAATTATTTCAGGAAATGTATGCTGAGAAAACTAACATGTAATTCATTCTTTAAGAATTAGTGCACATTTTCAGTTATAACCTAGATTTGTTAAACCTAAGAAAGCATGGTTTAATATCACTTAGTTTCATTTTTCAATATGAATTTCCAGTCAAGCTCCCTCCACCCCATTACCAAGCCATGATTCTCTTATTAAGTGCATTCATATTAAATGTCCTTGGCTGGTAGCAATTATCTCCAGATATGGGAAGAGAAAGAGAGGGAGTGTGAGCGAGCGCTAGACACCTTTCTCAACTGTTGCCTAATTCTTCAGCTAAGTAGCAATGTGAGACAATCAGACCCACTACCCTTTCTTTAAAACTCTTCTGACAGGGAGGGAGAAAGACAATTCTTCTTACTAGAGAAAGCCCTAAGAAGTCACCTGGGTTCTTTTACCAGACTTTCACTGGAAGAGTTTGTAGGGTGAGTGTGAAGTAGATAGAGACATTCAAATCAGATACTTCAAGGCACCTCAGAGTTTGAACCTCAACTTGACTTTAAATTGCTACTTGACTGTATTCTTAGAACTTCAAACCTAGAAAACCATTTCACAGATTGGCCCCTGAGGGTCAAAACTGTGTTGCTTTTGGTCAAGTACATTTGGAAGCAATCCCCACCCCCACTCCCCATTTCATAGGTAAGAAAACTAAAGAGACTGTGGATATGTGACTTTCCCCAGACTACACTTGCTATTAACAGCTCGATCAGAACCAACCAAATCTCCTGAATGTAACGCTGTGGTTCTCAACCTGGGCTGCACAGCGGAATCACCTGGCAGCTTTAACAACTACTGAAGTCTGGGTCTCATTCTCAGAAACTCTGACTTAATTCGTCTTGAATGGGCCTAAACTGGGGAGTTTTAGAGCTCCCAGGTGAGTCTAACCTGTGGCCAAGGTTGACATCCTGATCTCTCCTAATGGTTGCTCGTGCAAAATGACCTATGTCACTTACCACCACGGTCCTTCATACCCTTCCACTTTTCCCTCCCAATTAATCCTATTTCTTCTCTAGTGTCATCATATCCCAATAATAATTAAAGCCTAATGCTCAGAAAGGCGGGCTGTGTGACCACAGAGCAGTGGGCACCTAGTTGCCTCACCTGTTTACACAGGACAGATGGTGAATTTCAAAGCCGAATGTAGCACAGAACCAATGCCACCTAGCAGCAGCCATATACCCAAATTTAAGTTTAAATATTCTGCATATGCTCAGGTTTTGGATTCTCTCCTGGAGCAGCAGGCAGCACAAACTAACCGCCCAAGTCCTAGCAAACAGCAATGACTTTTGGAGCTGAAAACTGTGGACTGCTGTGACAATGGGAGCCTGAAACCAGGTCTTGGACCAACCCGCTTCATTACCTAACTGCTCTGCCCTCAGCTGTGAGACGGTCTTTTCGTCCCCCTTAGTTGCGTGCATAAAAAATGAGCGTTGGATCCCTCTACAAGAGGAGCAGTGGTGAAATTGCTGACCTAAAACTTAATCTGTTTTTGAGAAAAGTGATCAGTACAAGGAGACAAGCCTATTCCAGAAGCCCAAGCCCTAGCTGTGTTGGGCTTCGGGTCCACGGCGCTCAGAAGGGTTAGCAAGCTCTCCGCTCCACTACCAAGGCCATCAGGGCCAGTCAGTCTCTCAGATCTCTCAAGAAGCTCTGACCCCGCCTCCTGGAGATGAGCCAATCAGGATAGGCCCGATGTGGCCTTCTCTAGGCTGGAGGATTCCCATGATGCTCTGTCACAAGATTCCTTGGGAGGTGGCTTCTGGCAGTTGCTTCCGGTTCCCGCCACTCCGAAAGCGGAAGTGCAGGCTTCCCAGCGACCCACCTGTCAGACAAATATCCGCCCCGCTGGCCCTGTGCAGCCCAGGTCTGGCTGTGCAGGAGGTAGTGTCCTTTTCTCTGAAAGATTCGCGGGCGCACTGATGAATACCACTCCTTGCCTGCATGGGCTTTCACCTGCAACTTCAAACAATTTGGATTTCCACCCAAACCACAGGACTCCAAGAGTTCACCTTAACGGTATTCAAACTTTTGTTTGTTTATTTGTTTGTTTGTTTTTAGTTTGACCCAGTCATTTCTGGAGCATTCATTCCACAATTTCTTGAAGGATAGCGAAGTAGAGATGGTGCTTTAATGCCTGAGGACACAGGAACTTGAGCAACACTTTCCTTATCATATATTAAAATTTGTGGCTTATTCTAGAACCATAATACAAAGCATAATACAAACTACTACCAAATATAGTTTTGAATTAGATGTGTAAGCTGATTAGAAGCCAGATTTCTCCACCTTTTTGTTTAGGGGTCCAGGGAAGCCATTTCTCAACTTATTAGGGAGGTGGCCCTTGTGTGATTAATTCTGGTCAGTGGACACAGGCAAACAAAGTTCTGGTCCTCCCGGAGTTTATAGTCTAATGGAAAACAGAGAGACTTGAATTCTAGGTAACTATGCTGTGTGGTATGTACTTCAGGAGAAAGATGCACGATTAAATGCCTTCCTTACTTAAAAAATAAATAAAATAAAACCAGGGCACCAGGCAGGCTCAGGCAATGGAGCGTCGGACTCTTTTTTTTTTATATAGTTTATTTATTTTTGAGACAGAGAGACAGCGCGGGTGGGGGAGGGGCAGAGAGAGAGGGAGAGGCAGAATCTGAAACAGGCTCCAGGCTCTGAGCTGTCAGTACAGAGTCCCATGCAGGGCTTGAACCCACGAACCATGAGATCATGACCTGAGCCAAAGTCGGTTGCCTAACCGACTAAGCCACCCAGGCATCACGACTCTTGATCTCAGGGTTGTGAGTTCAAGCCCCAGGTAGGCATGGAGCCTACTTAAAAATAAGTAATTAAAGTAAAAAATAAAATAAATGAGTTCCTAAGTTTCTCTGTCAAATTAGTAGTGTCACCAAAGCTCAGGAAAGCAAATCCCCTGACTTAAGTACCCTAACACATCTTTGGCTAAAGTTGGCCACATTACTTTGGGGCCCAGACCCTGCCTGCTAGGGACCAACTGTAGGTGAATATAGCAAGAAGCTTTGATGGAAAGAAGTTGACTGTGGCCAAAATGATGTCAAAGAGGGGATGTTGGGATCTGTTGTGAGTTAACAGTGAAGAAAATGGCACCTGAAATGGGGATCTAATTTTGGGTTAGGTCATGTGGGGCTGGATTTTAAAGCCTTCATACATGTAGTAGAAAAGAGTTTTGGGGGGTTTTGATTGCTTTTTTTTTTTAAATATTTTTATCTATTTTTAGGAGAGAGAGAGAGACAGCATGAGCAGGGGAGGGTCAGAGAGAGAGGGAATCACAGACTCTGAAACAGGCTCCAGGCTCTAAGCTGGCAGTCAGCACAGAGCCCGACGCGGGGCTCGAACCCACGAACCGCGAGATCATGACCTAAGCAAAAGTCGGACGCTTAACCGACTAAGCCACCCAGGCGCCCCAGGTTTTGATTGCTTTTATCTCTTTGGTTTTTACCCCAGGTGAAGACATTTTTAAAAACTGAATTTTTAAGCGATTCATCATTAACCTACACAAGAATATTCTCTTAGTTTACTCTTTATTTCCAAACCCTGATTCTATTTTTCTTTGCTCCCATAACACCCACTCTAATATGTTTAATATATCTTTACATGTGCATGCATACCTTCTTGCAAAAGGTGTATTATTTTTATGACAATGTGTCTTTACAGAAAAGATAATGTGCTCTAATGATAATGTGTTCGGTTTCCTATATTTTTCCCTTAATGCTAGGTTTTAAGATCCATCAATGTTGCTGTGTACATCTGGTTGACACTTCTGGTACTTAGTTTTCAAGCACACATCTGCCATATTTTACTCATCCCTTTCTCTATGATAAGCATCTCAACTGCTTCCAACATTTAGCTACCCTATAAACAATCTTATGAGTGTGTGGGAGAATTTCCTAGGAATATATATATTCCAGAGTTTTCCCACAGATCATAAGGCACGTGCATGCTTAAGCTCAGCAACTGCCAAGTTACTTTCCTGAGTGGTGGTCCCAGTGGATGCTCCCTCCAGCAGTGCCCCAGGGTTCCATCTTCTGTTTTCTCAACTGCGCCATCTTCTCCCTTCTGACACTGACCATTCTAGACATGCAAAGGCAGAGCTCAAGTAGATGCAATAAGTAATAGGGAGCTATGTAATGCTCTACATCTGTGAATACTGTGAGAAAGGGGATGCTTTAGAAGAATCATGCAGGAATGGTCTGATTGCAAAACCAAAAGATCCAACATATACATATTCTCTGGGAAGTTTGGGAGATATTTAGCATTACAAATAAAAAATATGTTGTATGCATGGGGCTCCTGGGTGGCTTAGTCGGTTAAGCATCCGACTTTCACTTAGGTCATGATCTCACGGTTCGTGGGTTCGAGCCCTGCGTCGGGCTCTGTGCTGACTGCCAGCTCAGAGCCTGGAGCCTATTTCAGAGTCTGTATCTCCCTCTCTCTGACCCTCCCCTGCTCATGCTGTCTCTCTCTCTCNCTCTCTCTCTGACCCTCCCCTTCTCAAGCTGTCTCTCTCTCTCCCCTAGAAATAAAAATATTTTAAAAAATATATGTTGGGGGCGCCTGGGTGGCTTAGTCGGTTAAGCGTCCGACTTTCGCTTAGGTCATGATCTCACGGTTCGTGGGTTCGGGCCCCGCGACGGGCTCTGTGCTGACTGCCAGCTCAGAGCCTGGAGCCTGTTTAAGTCTGTGGCTCCCTCTCTCTCTGACCCTCCCCTGCTCACGCTGTCTCTCTCTCTCTCTCTCTCCTAGAAATAAATAAAACATTAAAAAAAAAAGTCTAAAAAAGATACGTTGTATGCACACTCCCTTTTTGTTCAAATATCCTATTCAGTATTTGATCTTACTTCCCATGTTTGGTTAGTTAGTTAGTGCTAACTTGGTCTGAAACATGATTTGACTTGGCCATGGCCAGTCTTTGCCATAGCTGGTAGCAGGAGGCAGAGAAGGGGAGGCAGAGCTATGAGATCAAAGTGTCCTGCTGAGCAGAAGCCTGGCCTCACTTGAGCTCTGCCTCTCCCCCTATCTTCAGCTGTCATTCTCCTTCAGGGTTGTGTGGAATAGTACAGTGACAATAAATAGTAACAATGAACATGTGTAGAGTACTTGCTACTCAGAATGGGGTCCTCAGACTGGGAGCTTAGGCGTCACCTGGGACACTGTTAGAAATTCGGAATCTTGGGGCCCACCCCAGGCTCCACTGAATCAGAATCTGCCTTTGGCAAGATCCCCAAGCAATTCTGTGCACACTACCACTGCTTCCGTCTTTGCCAAATATTTTCACATAGATTGTCTCATTTAAACTCTTCCCAACACCCCTGATTTCCTTGGGCATAGTTGTTATGTACCTCCCATGTTACAGTTGAAGAAACAGAGTCTTGGCAGGTTAAAGTGACTAGCCCAAGATTATCAGAAGAGCCCAAGGCAAACAGATTTTCAGGCTCTGCAACAGCATCTTAAGGTCATACTTTGTCTATAGCCCCTTCTCCCCATGCCCATTTTCCCTCAGTCCGAAAGGAAACCGCCCGGGAAGAGTTCATTTCAGAGCCAAAGGAAAGCGGAGTGGAGGTGAAGCCTCCCAGTCTCCTCAGGGATATAAATGGCCGCTGAAACCAAGAAACACTCCCTCCTGTCCAGCCTGGATCCTCCTGCTGCTGCCTTACAACTGTGAGTTAAGAGGGGCGGCAGATCTTCACCGAGTGGGAAGTAGGTAGAGATATTTGTGGGTCCCTCCCTTGAGTGAAGCATACCAGGTTCCATTTTCCTTCTTAAAAGCAAGCCAAGCAGGGGTTGCTTAATCTGGGGTTCCCCAGATCCCCAAGGCCTTTGTGGGTAGAAATCAGGAATCTGGGAACTTAGCATTTTCTCCGCTGTAACTAAAGGAAAGAAACCCACAGTAGCATCAGCAGGACCTGTGACTTTGTAACTAACGGAAATCATAGATATTTCCATACTGAGTTGCAACCGTTGTGCATCTCGAAATCTCGTTTATGCTCTTCATGACTTCAGTACTTTAGGTATTAGACCCATACTAGCCCCTCTTACTGAATATGTTCAAAAAAGGGCACTATATTGCTAAATTACAACTTTATTTTTTGAGATTTTGTAACTATCAATATAATGGTTTCTTTTGTATTTTACAAATGTTGTCTATGTACTTAAAAACGTCATTCTGAGAAGGAACTCACAGGCTTCATTAAACTGTAAAAGGATTATGTCAAACTTTGGAACCCATCACATGCCCCAGTTTGTTTTGGTTGGTTTGGGTCACCCTCTGTAATTTGTTTTATATCTTTTGGGGGGGGGGGGCAGCAACATAGCACCTAAAACCAATACTCCATTGCACAGCCAGGCTCTAAAACCAATACTCCATTGCACAGCCAGGCTTGAAGGGAGTGAGGGTTGAAGAATTCCAGGGGAGAACATGTGTGACCCTTCTGTTATTCTAAAAGATCTCAACATTCAGAAGATTTCAGTTAAAAATGCCGTGCCACTTGCTGGACAGAGGGACCGTTAACCATAGTTTTCTTTGGTCACTTGCCCTTCTGCACGTTTGTGTTATGATCTGTTACAATTCACAAAGAAGCTGGAAGATGTTTGGCCTTTGAAAAGGAACACCCCTCTTTTCATACACGTGACATTAACCAAGATTACCAACATTCTGAAGTCTGAAACGGTAAATTAGTGACCTCACTATCCAGAGAAAATGAAGGCTCAGACTTTTACGTAAGCTGTAAGAATTCTGCCTTGATAATTATCAATGCGCAGAGAAATGTCCATGATAGATTAAGTTACAAAAACCAGGTTACAAAATAGCACATTTTATTCTATAGAGGGCAGGGCAGAGAAAAAGAGTCTGAAAAAAAAAATATATATATATATACATGTTAATAGTATTAATTCTGAGTAGTGGAATTACAGGAAGATTTTCATCTTTTATTCCTTTTTGTATTTCTTTTTCCTTTTTAGGATCAGCATGTATTACTTTTGTTAAAATAAACAACAACAAACTAAGGCAATAAGACTATTTTCACTTTGTAAAAATCAAAATGTTTAACAACTATTTTACTGCTAGTTGGAACCTTGCAGAGCCACTTAACCACTTAAGTAGCTTCATACCTCTTGGGGAGAGAAAAAAAAAAGAGCAGAATGGAAATTTGAAAGAATTTAATTGTGTACAAAACATTCTAACAACGTGCTATACTATACCATGGACTTTACATAGTGGGTCAAATCAAGCCTCCCATATTGTCAGTGAACCAGGCAGCACCTGGTACGTAGCAGGCCCCCCATCAAAGTGAGCTCCCTTCCATCCTATTACACATTTATTTCCAGTGCAGAGTGCTCAGTACAGTGCTTGGAAGGTCGGGGGTATATTTTTCTTCCAGATCTACATAGCTCCCATTTTCCCAAGTTATTTCTTACTCTAATTGTTCTTCCGTACCTACTTCATCAGTTCTTTTAATCCTCCTTCCTCGGACTTTCTCCCAGCTGCTTGAGATTCTTTTTAAGTATTCTTATGAGTATTTTGAAAACTGTGGCTGTCACTCCAGAGCTGACACAATCACACACCCACTGTTTCAGTTATTTCTTGTGGCAGAGCAAACCACCCCAAACCCAGGGACTGTCCTGTATGCAGAATCGGGGGCGGGAGGGTAGGTAGTGTCTACCCGGTGGAGGGGAGGCGGGAGCCAGCTACGTGGGTTGCCCTTCCATTTATCATTCATGATTCTGTGGGTCAGGAATCCGAGGAGAACTCATCTCTGCTCCAGGCTGTGTCAGCTCAGCCTGTGTGGCTGGTGTTGGAGGGTGTCGGCGGAGTCTGCTCATGCATCTGGAGTCTTGGGCCTGGCTGTCAGTTGGGGTGCCTTGGTTTCCACATTCTCCATTCAAATGTTCTCTCATTAGTCAGTAGTTCAGCCCAAGTGCCTCTGCCAAGTGGCTGGTTTCCAAGAAGGTGAAAATGGAAACTCCAAAGGCTTCTTAAGACCTAGGCACAAGTAATACCTGGGTGGTTCAGTTAGTTAAGCGTCCTACTCTTGACTTCAGCTCAGGTCATGATCTCATGGTTCTGGAGATCGAGCTCCAGGTTGGGCTCTGCTCTGTGGAGCCTGCTTAGGATTCTCTCTCCCCCTCTCTCTGTCCCTCCTGTGCGTACACTCTGTCTCACTCTTTCTCTCTCTTTCAAAATAAGTAAATAAATGTTTTGTAAAACTATTACAAAAAATAAAAAAAACTTAGGCACGAAGTCCCACAGCACCACCCCCGATTCTTTTGTTCAAAGTGAGTCACAGGGCCAGCCCCCATTCAAGGGTCAGGGAAACAGACTTCACCTCTTAATGTAGGAATGCCAAAGTCACACTGGAAAAGGTTATGTGGAGTGAAAGGGGTTGTTGTGTCCACCTTAGAAGCACTCCACTCAACAATGAAGAGTTCAAGATTTTATTATTTATTTTTACTTTTTTAAAAAAGCACTACTCCCAGTAGGGGGCTTGAACTCACTACCCCAAGATCAGGAGTTGCATACTCTACCTACTGAGCCAGCCAGGTGCCCCTGAGTTCAAGATTTAAAAAAAAATGTTTTAAATAATCTTAAAAACCATGGTAATTGGTATAATAAAAATAACAAATAATATTCACTAGTTAGAAGGGATGTTTTTCCTAATCTGTGACACTTTCACTTTCTGAATCGGCCCTTGCTTGCCTCTCATCTCCAGTTTATGTCATATGAGGCTGGGTATATAAGAGAAGTCCTCAATGTCCCCCTTCGCTATTATGTCACCACATGGCCATTCCCTCTCAGTCTCCTTCCTGAGCCTGTAGTCCCCAGGAGACCCACACTCAGTTCTCTTATCTCTTGTTTGCTCTTCCTAGGGGATTGCATGTGCTACTCTGGCTTTAACCACCACCTATACCCTGATTACTCCCAGGGTATTAAATTAAAACAGATTTTAATCTCTGGCCCAGATCTTTATCTCCGGGGCTCCAGACCTGAAATTGCAACTGCCTCCTGGGCATCTCTGTTTGGAAGTTCCACAGGTAATCTTATCTTTATAGGTCCTAAATCAAATTTGGCATTTCATCCCTCTCCACCAAAACCTGCCTCCCTCTGGCCCCTACCTTGGGCAATAGGGTCCTGTTTCATCCAGTGAATCAAGCCAGAACCTGGCAGTTCTCCTCCACATCTCTCTCTCTCTCTCATGCCTCCCTCCAGTGAATTGCCAAATTCTGTTGTTTCCTGGTATTTCTATTCTATTCTTTCCATGCCTGCCACCATTTCCTTAGTTTAGGCCAGCATCAGCTTTGTTGCCTACATTACTGCAAAAGCCTTCTCACTGGTGTTAGACCCCCGCCCCTCTGGTCCATTCACACTGTGCCAAATGGGCCTTCTATACCATCACTCCGTGCTAAAATCTGTTGGTAGGTTCCTCTTGTCCTCAGAATAAAAGTTCTACTTCCACATTCCTTAGCCCTGTTGTGCAAAGGCCCTTTACGTTTGGGGCTGCTTCCTTTAACACCCTAAGCTCCTCACCCGGCCTCTCAAATCTGTGACCTAGACAATTTGGAGCATCCCGAATCCCCAGTGGTCTGTCTCCTCTCTACCTCCACGCCTCCTCTCCTCTAGCTTAGGGATCAGCTGTGGGAAGCCTGCCCTGACCTCTTCCTTGGCTCTCCTAGGACATTCCGTGCACACCCGTCTCCTAGCCTTTACCACAGTCTGTAATAATGGCTGCCTCGCTTACTTTCTTCTCCCACATACCGGAGGCCCCTTCATCTTAGCTTTAGTGTTATTCCTCAGTGTTCAGCTAGTGCCTGGCATAGGGTAGGGCAGTGGATGAATGGTGTCCACAGACTTTGAGGACAATGAGAAGATGGCTGTCAGTTACCATATGCTGTAATTCCATAACTAAACTGAGGGATCTTTACATGTCAGCCCCACTGCCGCTTCCTTCATTATTCTGACCGAAGGAGAAACCGGCACCATCAGCAGGAAGGGTCAGCATCTATCTGAGGTATCGCTTACTACTGCCCAGGACTTTTTTTTTAGTCATGCCCAAGATGACAATTTTCCGTGTGTGGTCCTACACTGATGCAAGCTGAGGGTGAGTACTTCTGTCCTCGGTGTTGCCCACATTCTGTCTGTAACTCCACTGGCTCTTCAGAGACCACCTTTTTAAAATTTTTTTTTAATTTATTTTTTATTTTTTTATTTCCTCCATTAAAAAAATCTTGAGTGCCTAGGGGTGCCTGGGTGGCTCAGTGGGTTAAGTGGCTGACTTCGGCTCAGGTCATGATCTCAGAGTTAGTGGGTTCAAACCCCATATTAGGCTCTGTGCTGACAGCTCTGAGCCTGGAGCCTTCATTGGATTCTGTGTCTCTCTCTCTCTCCGCCCCTCCCCTACTGGTACTCTCTCTCTCTCTCTCTCAAAAATAAACATTAAAAAAATTCTTTTTTAATCTTGAGTGCCTAATATAGAACAGACACTGGACCAGAAAGATTATGACATGGCCACCGTCTTCCAGGAGCTCAGATCTGGGTGTAGTGTGGGTAGGATTCAGTGTTGTAAAATACTTCTTACCCTAAGATGTGATGTGTGCTCCGTTCCCAGCGTGGACAAAGTGCTACGGGAACAGTGAACTACGGATTCGCCCTGAAATTATCAAGGAAGGCTTCAACAAGGTGGCTGTGGAGTAAAGGAAGCCAAAGGAGCCCTTCAAAGATAAAAATGCACATTTTTTCCAATACACCATGGCACCTGTTACACTGTGAAGAAAATCTATATTTCACACTGTGGCCTGTAATTTCCTCATAGTCTGGCTACTCCTGCTCACTCTCTAGCCTGCCCCCCAACACCCCACCTTCCCCAGCCCCCTCTGCACCTCCAGCCACACTGTATCCCCGAGGGAGCTCCTTCCTGGTAGGACACTGTCAGAGCTGGTCCCTCTTCTCAGGCACATTCTCCCTGAACCTGCCTATCCTCTCTTTAGATTTCAGTTTAAAAGTCTCTTCCTTGGGGCGCCTGAATGGCTCAGGATGGCATCTCACTTTGGGTCAGGTCATGATCTTAGGGTTCATGGGTTCAAGCCCCATGTCAGGCCAGGCTCAGTACTGAGAGCTTGGAGCCTGGAGCCTGCTTCTGATCCCATCTCTCCTCTCTCTGCCCCTCCCCCGCTGTAGTCTGCCTCTCTCTCTCTTTCTCTCTCTCTCAAAAAATAGATAAGGGGCGCCTGGGTGGCTCAGTTGGTTGAGCGTCCGACTTTCGCTTGGGTCATGATCTCGCTGCTCGTGGGTTCGAGCCCCGCGTCGGGCTCTGTGCTGACTGCCAGCTCAGAGCCTGGAGCCTGTTTCAGTCTGTGACTCCCTCTCTCTCTGACCCTCCCCTGCTCACGCTGTCTCTCTCTCTCTCTTTCCTAGAAATAAATTTTAAAAAATAGATAAATATTTTTTAAAGTTTTTTGAAAGTCTCTTCGTCAAAGCAAGATTAAAAAAAATTTTTTTTAATGGTTACTTTTGAAGCAGAGAGAGAGAGAGCGTGAGCAGGGAAATAGGGATGCACAAATCTGAAGCACTTTCCAGGCTCTGAGCTATCAGCCCAGAGCCCAACTTGGGGCTTGAACTCACAAACAATGAGATCCATGACCTGAGCCAAGGTCAGAGGCTTAGCAGACTGAGCTACTCCGGCGCCCTGTCTAAATCAAATCACAATTATAGGCACAATCGTATTATCACCCCATTGCAATTCTATGCATTACAGTTAACTTCACCATCATAAGTGATTTTATAATGTATATAGTGAGAGAAATGGAGACAGACTTGTCTTTGTCTTCCCATCCAAGTTTTCTGAGAGCAGGGACCTGGACTGTTTTGTTCCTTGCTGTCGTCCTGGTACCTAGAACACAGAGTAGGTGCTCAGCAAATACTTGTTGAAAAGACTGGGCAAATGAGCAACACAACGTTTGCTGCATGAAGACTGTGGCTTAGAGATGTGGAGCTGTACACATTGAGGAACAGCAAGTCATTTACTCTGGCTTTGGGCAAGGGTACGTCAGGATAGGAGAGGAGCTTGGAAGGGTGGGGAGAGCAGTTGAGGGCAGACTATACTAGTTTGAATGGAATAGCGTCTTATCTCCTAGACAGCCAGAGCCAAGGATCATTTTTAAGTAGGGAGTGTCATGACTGGATCGTGACTTTCAAAACCCCACTCCGTGGCAGTGTGGGGAGTCTGGGCACTAGAAATCAACTGGGGGGGGGGTGGTTCAGAGGTTAGGTGGGGAGACTGCAGATGATTTAATCTAAGGGAGAGGTGACATAGAGCCAACAATTGAAGGAGAAAAATGAAAAATGAGGCAAGAGAGACACTTCTGAGGTAAAACTGTTGCGATCTGGGGATTGACTGGATCTAGGACTTTGGGGGAGAAGGTGAAGACTGGATGGGGGATGATGAACCCATACAGGAAGGGGCAGAAATGATTTTAGTTTTGGTAATGTTGAGTCTGAGGTGCCTGGGGAACATCTTTCTCTGAATCTCTAGGAATTGTGCCACCACCACACTGTTCCTCCTACCCCTTTTCTCTTTTCTTTCCTGTTTTGAATCACTCCCACCAGCCATGAATGCTCCCTGCTTCTCAGCGTGCCGGGGCATCATGCCAGCAGGCCCCACATTCCTGAAGAAGGGACTGGGTTCGGACCTGGAGGGCTGGCTGGGGTCACCTGAGGGGGCGGCTCCCCGACAGGAAGGCAGGCCGGCCTGTGCCGGGGGCGGCTCCCCGACAGGAAGGAAGGCCGGCCTGCCGGTTGGGCGCCGAGGGGAGCTTCCCCGGCTGCAGCAGGTGCCCGGGGCCAGCTGCTCCAACCCCTCCGGCTCAGATCAACAGGATGGGACAGCCCAGGCGGAAGGAAGCCGACAGGAAGGGACACCCCTGCAGACGGGGTGGGGGCATGGGGTGGAAGGGAGATAGGAAGAGCTGCCTGGGCTGCTGAGCTGGCCCCCCTCCAGCTGATTCAGGAGGGGCAGTGACAAGAGGCCATTCAATCCCTGGCCCCGGTCAACTGTATTATTACTACTGTTGTTGGCTACCGTGGGCCTTAGATATACCAGAAGGAACCACTAGAAAGTGTTCACGGATTTGCCAGTTTCTAAAATAATTAATTCCCTTCTATGCTCATCCTGTGGTTATTGGGAAAGAAAGGACACTTAATTAGCCTTTCAGTTACACAGAGAGGTGAGCCCGCCTGAGGGAGGGGCAGAGATTTTTGCCACGTGTTCGGCCTGTCCAAAGGAGATACAATCTTGGGTTCGCTTTAAGCCGGGTTATCACCGCCCAACTCTGCAACAACAGCTGCTGTGAACGGGCGCCGAACGGCCAAAAGGGGGCAAATTGGGAACGAAAGAAAGCAGAGTCATGGATTCCCCTTCTGGAGGCCCTAGCCCGCCTCGGAGCCCAGGGGGTCGAGGGTGGGGGTGTCGGAGAGAGGAGAGCGGGGTAATTTGGAGCGGGCGGTGGGTCTTTGATTAGGCGGGCTTCCCCGCAGGAACACCGACACCCCCCCCCCCCCACGGCGTGCTCCGGCCTCCGCCGGTGACCCTAGGAGACCTCTCCCCACACGCAGTTTCCCGGCAGGGCGTTTCCGGAGGCCTTGGCCTGGGGTAGGGTTGGGGTCTATCTTTAGAAACAGCTTGTAGACTGCAATTTAAACTTTACAACAAGCTAAAAACTCGATTCCCCAACCGAGCGTCGGCTCCCGAGAAGAATGAGAACTCGGGTCCACAGCCCCCTCACCACCCCACTGGTCCAGTTCTCAGGGCTTCCTGCAGTCCCCACACCATTCTCCCGGCTGCTGGAGGAAGGATGGGCGGGGCGGACAGGGGCGGGTACTGCTGCCAGCGACGCAGATGCGGAGGGCGAGCCCGCGCCGGCGGCCGGGGCGTGGGCGGGGGGCGCAGGAGCAGGTGTCCGCTGAGCAGCCGGATTCCCTCTCCTCCCCTCCCCTCCCCGGTGCTCCCCACGGCTCAGCGAGGTAAAACCCAGCAAATACTCGAGAAATGCAGCTCAGTCGGTCAGCGGGCTCTGCTTTCTTGCCAGACGCCTAAGAGGACGGCGCTTCCAAATGCAAATCTCTTGGCTCGGGCCCCTTGGCTAGCAGCCGCCGCCTCCCCCGCCCGGCTGCTCGGCGTCCCGCCCACCCCGCGGCGGGCCGAGATGGGGCCCCGAGCAGAGGGGACTGGGCGGAGCGGGCAACCCTCCCCACCTCCCACGTGGGGCCGGCCCTCCGCAGTGCCTGGGCGCGCCGCCGCCGCGCCTCCGGGTTAGGCCCCCGCTCGCGGCACCGCCCCCTAGTCCGGGGCCGAGGACTGCTGGTGGGGGGTGGGCGAGGGATGAGGGGGTGTCACTGAGTCAGGTGGCGGCGGGAGTTCCCTCGGGCCGGGCAGAGGGAACACGCTGCCGGGGATTGTGTACACGCTCCACTGACACAAGCTTCACGCTGCCGGGCAGCCGCTGATCACGCGTGGCCCCGGGAGCCCATTGGCCGACGCCTCACACACCTTTGCCGCTGATTGGCCGGCCGCAGGCTCCGCCCCCGCCCCCGCCCGCGGCGCGGGGCAGGCGGAGAGGCTACCTGAATGGGGAGGGGGCAGACGGCGCGCAGCGCGGCGGCGGCGGGAGCGACGTCGAGTGTCTCCGGGCGCCCGTCTGTGGCCAAGCAGCTAAGCAGCGTAGCAGCCAGTCAGCTCGTCGCCGGCAGCCAGGCAGCCAACCATGCTCAACTTCGGCGCTTCTCTCCAGCAGGCTTCTGTAAGTCACCTGGGGATGCCCCTGCCCTTCCTTCCCTTGCTGCGTCTCAGGGGCCAGCCGGGGCGCCAACCCCGAGCCCTTGACATCAGGGGCGCCTGAAGACCGGGGTGCAGCGGAGTCGTGGGGGAGAAAGGGGCTTTCTTCCTGCAGCCCGGGCATTGGTGAGGGCGTGTGTGTCGCGGAGTGGGTCAGGAGAGGCGGACTGGGCTCTAGAAACGAAGGGAGAGGGGTCTTGGTCAAGGTGTAAGGAGGAGGGGAAGGGGCAGCTCGCCCGGAGACTTGAGGTGGGCGAGGGGGGAGGATGCCTGGAGGAGCGCGAAGAGGGGGCTGCTGCCCTGGCAGTGAGGGCTGGGGAAGGTGTAGAAGGGAAGGGGGGGACAAGGGGTCTACCCTGCACCTGGCACCCGAGAGAGATGCCGCCGTCTGGATCAGGAATGCGACCGCGGGCGGGAGGGGGCTGCTCGCGAGCGCTTGAGGGGCGGGGTGTCCACTGGGGAGGAGAGGGGGCTGCCCCTCTTCGGGGGTCTGGGCCGAGGCTTGCAGGACTGGGGCTGCTCAGCAGTCAGTCGGGGACTGGGGGAGGGGGCACCCGGCGTGGGTGCGGGGGAATGGCACGTGGGCCCCGGCCCGCCGTGGGGGGACTCCCCATCCCTGGCGGGAGCAAGTGGCCATCTCTTGAGGGACCCCCCTGGAAGGGGGGTAGGGAGCCGCCGCGGGGATGTGAGGGTGGAAAGCTGGAGCCTGCGGTGGGGCGGGGGACGTGGGCGGGGGGAGTCAGGGCCGCGAGACGCGGGGGCCGCGTGTCGAGCCGGGAGCTGCGGGCCGGGGGACCGTGCGTCTGGAGCCGGAGCCCGTGGGGGGCTGCACGTCTGGGAACCTGTGGAGACTCGGCGGGCGGAGGCCAGAGCTGCCGGAAACCGCGGGGAGGGGGCGCCGTGTCTGCGGGAGAGACGGGGTGGTCTGAGGTCCCGCGGGCGGCGTGGGCGGGAAGCGCCGAGGGCTCGGCCGGATCCCCGGGGGCTGCGGCCGGGAGGAGGGAGGAGGCCGGGTTTCCGCGGGGACCCGGCTCCTCCTCCGGCAGCTGAGGCGGAGGCCGGGGGTGGGCCGGGAGCGGGTGCGCCCAGGGAGCTTCTCGTCCCCGAGTGACCCAGCCCCGGCCTCCGCCAGGGGCGGCAGAGAGGCCCAGCCCCGCTGTCGGTTCCTAAGGGAACGGCGGCTCTCCGGGAGCGGGGAGGGGCGGACGCTCCGGGAGCCGGCGCCCGCGGCCCCGCCCCTCCCCGCAGGCTGGGGCGCGCACTGCCGGGCGGTTGGCGGCGGCTCCCGCGGCCCCTCCCCCGGGCCGGCGCGAGGGCGGGGGCCCGCGGGCTCAGGAAGTAGGTGAAAGGTGACGGCGCGGCAATTCCCAGTTCACGTTTCCTGCGCCGCCCGAAGCAGCCGCTGATCACGCTTTGTTCACATGCCTCACCCCCTCCTCCCCCGTGCCCCCCGCCCTTCGCGGCCCAGCCAATCCGGGCCTGGGCCGCCGGGCAAGCTGGCCAATGGCGGGGGCAGGGGCGCGGGGACGTGCGAGCGGCGAGGAATGTTCCCAGTGACTCACCCGCGAGCTTCCTTGAGGTTAGGGCGGCCCCATCCGTCTGTCCCCGCCAGCGAGGATCTCCCCCGCCGTCCGCCCCCGCCCTTCGTCTGCCTCCCCCGCCCGCGCCTCCGCCCGCTCTTCCCTTTCCTGCCTCGCGCCCCACTCCCTTTCCTCCCCTCCCCGCTTCTCTTCCTGCCCTTCCCAGCACACACTCCCCTTCCCTGCTTGCCTGCTTGCCTGCCTTTTCTCCTTTTTCTTTTCTTTGCATTGGCGTTTGAGGCTTTTAGACATACGTGCTCTGTCCATTGCAGTTTACATAAAGGGGCGCGCGATTATGCAATAGCGTTGTTAGTGAAATTTCCAGAGCAGTGGCTCCTTTTCTAAGGATATCAACATGAAGGGTTTATGTATTTTAAAACAAGAATTGAGAATAGCAGCTTGCGAGGTAAAGAATGCTTTTCTTTGGTATCTTCACACAATTTTTACTTCGATCAGAAGAATGGGATCACGTTAATGGAAAATGGGAGGTGGTTGGTAGTGCCATTTTTTAAAAGTGCAGTTTAGGGAACTTTAATATGAGACGTTAAACACTTGGTAGAAGGAGCTGTACAAATAAATGGCAAGCATGTGCTATCATTCTTGTCACCTAGCAGTCATTTTTAAAAATTTTAAAAACGTTTGGACTGTCACAGACTCGCTATCGCAGTTTTTGCAAATTCTGGGTAGATTACATTTTGATTGTCCATTTTTTAGTCTTGCATTAGTTGGTCATGGCTATGGATGGCAAGCCATTGTTTAAATAGATCTAGTGAAAGGGAAAGCAAGCCTGAAGAACTTGAATCCTAAGTATGGCTGTGGGATTTTTCCACATATTTCACTTTGTCCCTCTCTACCATAGATAACTAAGCTGTGAAAGATATTTTAGATTTAAAAGAACCCAATGGAGTAATTTTAAAAAGTCACTGAAGATTTCTATTTTGTTGATCTTAATCTAAAGTGCCAAATGACTTTCAAAAGGTTTGATCCATATTGACAGACCAGAGACTGTCCACTACACTTTGCCTTTCCCCACTACCGGTTGTGGGGAATTCATATCTCAAAAGTCCTCCTGCCACACCTGCAGGAGGTGAAAAAAACTTTTGCAGAACCTTCCCTTAGTTATTTTATCTGACCTCCTTGCAGGTGGCTATTCTGGAAAGAATATAAAATTTCTACATCAAGTTCTCTTTTTTTGCATACGTGCATTGGTATCTTTGGCCTTGGTCTCCTTAATGGCAATAAGATGCTTCTCTTCTACCTTGCAAGGATATCCGTGTTCAACCCTGAGTAGTATTAGAGAAAGAATGAGGAAGATTCTCTTTTTAGTAGGGGTGAGAGAAAAATTTATTTCACAAACCTGGAAAGTTGTGCAATTGTAAAGAAAAATTGTACATTGCTCTGCATGTTTGTTATTTGGACGACAAAAATATGCTTAGAAGTATTTGATCTTTTGTTTTTATAGGAGGAAAGGATGGAAATGATTTCTGAAAGATCGAAAGAGAGTATGTATTCATGGAACAAAACTGCAGAAAAGAGTGATTTTGAAGCTGTAGAAGCACTTATGTCAATGAGCTGCAGTTGGAAGTCTGATTTTAAGAAATACACTGAAAACAGACCTGTTACTCCAGTATCTGATATGTCGGAGGAAGAGAATCTACTCCCGAGTACACCTGACTTTCATACGATCCCAGCATTTGTAAGTTTTATTGTTTTTAATATGAGAATGTAGATGGTATAATTTTTTATAATTTACATAACGAACTTAATTTCTCATGCGCCTGTCTGTATACTTCTCTTTTCTAGTGTTTGACTCCACCTTACAGCCCTTCTGACTTTGAGCCCTCTCAAATGTCAAATTTGATGGCATCAGCGCCATCTACTGGACACTTCAAATCATTCTCAGATCCTGCCAAGCCTCACATTGCTGCACCTTTCAAAGAGGAAGAGAAGAGCCCAGCACCTGCCCCCAAACTCCCCAAGGCTCAGGCAACCAGTGTGATTCGTCATACAGCTGATGCCCAGCTGTGTAACCACCGATCTTGCCCAGTGAAAGCAGCCAGCATCCTCAACTATCAGGACAATTCTTTTCGAAGAAAAACCCACCTAAACGTTGAGGCTGCAAGAAAAAACATACCGTGTGCAGCTGTATCACCAAACAGATCCAAGTGTGAGAGAAACACGGCGGCAGATGCTGATGAGAAAGCAAGTCCTGCACTTTATGACTTTTCGGTGCCTTCCTCAGAAACCGTCATCTGTAGACCTCAGCCAGCCCCTGTGTCCCCACAACAGAAGTCGGTGTTGGTCTCTCCGCCTGCAGTATCAACAGGTGGAGTGCCACCTATGCCAGTCATCTGTCAGATGGTTCCCCTCCCTGCAAACAACCCCGTTGTGACGACAGTTGTTCCTAGCACTCCACCCAGTCAGCCACCAGCTGTCTGCCCGCCTGTTGTGTTCATGGGCACTCAGGTGCCCAAAGGCGCCGTCATGTTTGTCGTACCCCAGCCTGTTGTTCCGAACCCAAAGCCTCCAGTCATGAGCCCAAACGGCACCAGACTGTCTCCCATTGCCCCCGCGCCAGGGTTTTCCCCTTCCACAGCAAAAGTCACTCCTCAGATTGACTCCTCCAGGATAAGAAGTCACATCTGTAGCCACCCCGGATGCGGCAAGACGTACTTCAAGAGCTCTCATCTGAAGGCCCACATGAGAACACACACAGGTACCAGCCATCTCTTTATTTGTGCCATTGAAATTTGGATGACTATTTTTGGGCCATGATCACAGATATAAGCCAGGCATGTTAAAGAAGAACTAACTCTATTAACCGGTTCAGTGGAGGATATTTACAAGTTTCTCCAAAAGATTTCATCAAGGTGTTTCTGTTTTAATTTATTTTTGAGAGAGAGAGAGAGAGAGAGAGACAGAAGGAGCAGGGGAGGATCAGAGGGAGAGGGAGAGGGAGACACAGAATCCGAAGACAGGCTCCAGGCTCTGAGCTAGCTGTCAGCACAGAGCCCGACACAGGGCTGGAACCCATGAACTGAGAGATCATGACCTGAGCTGAAGTCGGACGCTCAACCGACTGAGCCACCCAGGTGCCCCTCAAATGATGATTCTTGAAGTGTCTGAGTAGTAGTTACTTTAAAGTCTCTCTAAAGCCGTTCAACCATAGTTGAAATCAGAAAACCTTTTTGGTTTTAGTCTTTATAAAGGGAAGATTCCAATAAATGTGATTAAGTGAAAGTTGAAAATACATGTAATATTTACTTAAAGTTGCTTCATTTAGTAGCTTTTATTTTGAAGAGCATCTCTTAAGATATTCTAAAATGTATGTCTTTGGATATAATTAGATACGTAATTTACAGTGATTTGATGAATGCATAGTAACGATGATCTGAATTTCTTTGTCTCAGGAGAAAAGCCTTTTAGCTGTAGCTGGAAAGGTTGTGAAAGGAGGTTTGCCCGTTCCGATGAACTGTCCAGACACCGGCGAACCCACACAGGTGAGAAGAAATTTGCTTGTCCCATGTGTGACCGACGCTTCATGAGGAGCGACCATTTGACCAAGCATGCCCGGCGCCATCTGTCCGCCAAGAAGCTACCAAACTGGCAGATGGAAGTGAGCAAGCTAAACGACATTGCCTTACCTCCAACCCCTGCCCCCACGCAGTGACCACTCAGAAGATGAGAGTCTGAAGTAACTTTGGTCACAGCCAGGAGCCAGCGGTGATGTAAAAATGCTTCCACCGCAAGTCTGTGTCCCTCCAGTGTGGCTGAACGCAGGGCCCCCCAGCCTGAGGAGAAGCCTCCGCCCTGGGCTAGAGGACAGGAAGTGCTGCCGCCACAAGCAGGTCACAGAGTGGCAGGATTCATTTCTTATCACATAAGAGAGATGAGAAAGCTTTTATTCCTTTAAATATTTTTTGAAGGTTTCAGATGAGGTCAACACAGGTAGCACAGATTTTGAATTTACGTGCACAACTTATTACTTAGTTTTCACCGTTTATACTTGAGACCAACTTTTCAATGTGATTCTTCTAAAGCACTGGTTTCAAGAGTCAAGACTGGAAATAAACATTACGGTACAGAGATGGAGATGGAAAATTGATTTGTATTACAAATATTGGCATCTTTTCCTAGTTACCTTGTTTACTATTCCTAGTCTTTCCAGTCAACTTCGTGGATGTAGTTGCTAAATATATCTAGAGCTAGCATTTTTATACTTGCTAACATTTGGAATTCAGCAGCTTGTATATTGCTGAAGAGGGCCCAAAGAATTGGAATCCTCAATAATTTAATTGCTTTGGAGTATTGCTATAATTTTTTTGCCATTTTTGTTTTGAAAGTTTAGCAGATGACTATATCTAGGCATTTATTATGCTTTGAACTTTAGTTTGCCTGCAGTTTCTTGTGTAGATTTGAAAATTGTATACCAATGTGTTTTCTGTAGACTCTAAGATACATTGCACTTTGTTTAGAAAAAAAATTGAAGATAAAAATATATATTGTAAAGAAGGGATACCAAGACTTAGATAACTCCTTGAAAAAGATGACTTCTGTCATCCGTAAAGTACCCTTATATTATGAGGATATAATGTGTGCTCTATTGAATTAGAAAGTTAGTGACCATTATTCACAAGGACAAATGTCCTGTTAATTTATAGGAGTTTTTGTGGGGGAAGGAAGTGGAATTAGGTGAATAGAAGTTGTTAAAACATTCACTTCTGTTAACGGTATTTTGTTATATTCTGTTGTGTAGTGGATGTTACATACAGTGATAAAACAAAAGTAAATTGTTTAAAATATACAGTGAAAAATGGCACTGTATCTCTCCGTTTAACATTTTTCTCTATTGGGTATTGATTTCTGACATCAAAACTTGGACCCTTGGAAAACAAGAATTTTTCTTTTAATTGAAAAAAAACTTTGTGATTTACAATTTGCACAATATCTCTTTTGTTGTACTTTATATCCTGTTTACAATAAACATTTCCTTTGGTATATTTATTTGGTTGATGGCATTTGTTAAACCATTCTCAGTCTACATATGACACTGATCACTTACAGGGCTCACCGAGGACGTAGTGTCTACATTTCTCTAAGAGCTTCATTCAAATTTAGAACTTCAGGAGTGGACCTTTACTGTGAGTCAATTTAGAGGGTATACAAAGTGAGGACTGGTATCCATATATTCACTGAGATAACTTGCAAGCCTGACCAGTTCAAGAAGCCAACACATTTGAATCTTTAAACATTCTTGTACATTTTGATGATTTGGGATTGAAATATAGCTCTGGGTCTCAGCAAAACCTTAAGTAGCATTAAGTTAAGGGGCATACCACCACAGTGAATGATTACAAGCAATGAGAATCCTGTGGCAAATGAAAAGAAGCCTGACCAATTAAATGGAGAGTAAATTACCTCTGGAAGTTAGATCAGCTTAGACCATTCGGTGAAACCTTAAATGCAATAAACATAACTGATACTTAAGCTGCATGAAAGGTAATACACCTGGGAAGAGAAACACTTGGTAGTCACTTGTCAGTGGAATTAGGAGCTGTAAATGCTCCTTGGGTGTACTGAGTACAATTTTGGAGGTTAGTTGGCTCTGAAATCCCCATGTCATGAGAGAACATCGTCCAGTGTCCACCTTAACCCCTGACCTAAAGTCTGGCTCACTGTCGAAACACCCGTGGAAAGGGGAAATGTACTCACTTGGCGCCAGTTGTGAAGACCAGCATCTCGGGTCATCTGCACACCTGTTGCTGCTATTTATTTCTTGGAAACGCAACACCACCCAAGTGCAGCATGGCCGCTGGGAAGGGTGCTGTTCTTCACCCTCAGTGCTGGCATCTGGACCATCCTCGTGGTTTCCTCACGCTGGTAGGTCTTCCAAAGTGGGAGGAGAGGAAGGTAGCTGCCCTAGGGCCTACACCCTTGTAATGACGTGGTCAGTGGAAATGTGCCACCCACGGCTGTTCTTCCCGGTCCTAGCCGGCATCTGAGACATCCTTCAAAATCTTGTAAATCAAATCATTTGAACAGAGTAATAAATTTGAGCTAAATGTTCATGCAAACTCTGACCTTGATTCAAAAGTTGCCCCCAAACAACATTTGCAGCATGGAATGATAATTACGGTGTAAGTTGGGACTGTATGAAGTTGCTGATATTTAAGCTGTTTTAATAGTTAAGTCTTGTTTTAGGTAATTTTAGATAGAGTTCCCAGTTATCTTTCATCCAGCTGGTAACACAGAGCCATAGAACATTGATCAAAACCAAGAAATTAAAAATCTTTTAATGTTTATTTTGAGAGGGAGACAGGCAAGTGGGAGAGGGGCTGAGAGAGAGGGAAACAGAATCCCAAGCAGGCTCCACGCCTGTGAGCAGAGAGCCTCATGTGGGTCTTGAACTCACGAACCGGTGAGATCATGACCTGAGTCCAAATCAGAAGTCGGATGCTCAACTGAGCCACCCAGGAGCCCAAAACTAAGAAATTAACCTTGCTACAATACTTATTAACTAAAGTTCAGAACCTGTTTGGGTTTCAGTAGTTTTTCTACCAATGTCTTTTTTTTCTATTAGAGAACCTAATCCAGGATCTCAAACACTGACTTGTCATATCCAAATTTCTCCAATTATGGTCATTCTGGCTTCTTTCATCTCTTTTGAATAGCACTCATTGGCTATTTTGCAGAATGATCCTCACTTTGGGTTTGTCTGATGTTTTTTCATGACTAGATGAGGTTATGTTAATTGGGAAGATAACCACAGAGAGAAAATGTCTTCAGTGCATCATAGGAAATACATGATGTCTGCATTGCTGGTGATGCTAAGCTTGATCACTTAACTAGTGATGTGTGCCAGAATTTTCCAATGTCATTTATTTTTCTGTTGATAATTATTAACTGTTTGGAGAGATATACTTTAAGATGAATAACTTGCTTCTGCTGAAGCTTTTGCCCACTCCATATGCTTAAATAATCTTACGTATGGCAGTTATTACTGTGATATGCTAAGAGTGATTTCATATTTCCCTCATTATTAATTGGAATTCTGGGGAGAAGAGATGTTGCTTATCCCCTGCTTATTTGCATTTTCAGTTATTTATGCCACTGTGGAATTAGGGATATTTATGTCATTCTTTATATTCTAACTTTGACCCTGTTACTTCTTTCACCACTCAACCATTTTTGATTGACAAAGATGGAAATTTCATATAGGTTCAATCCAGCTCACTGGAATGAGAGCTGCTTGGTGTTAGTCATTTCACTTTTTGAAAGTTTTCTCTGTCCACATTGCCACCACTCATCTAATCCACCCTCTCTCCCTTGAACAACCACAGCTGTCCCTAGTGGGTCTCATCTTGTCTCCCACCTGATGCAACCCCCTCACCAGTCTTTTGAAAATGCAAACCTGAGGGGCGCCTGGGTGGCTTAGTGGGTTAAGCGTCCAACTTTCGCTTAGGTCATGATCTCGTGGTTTGTGGGTTCGAGCCCCTCGTTGGGCTCTGTGCTGACTGCCAGCTCAGAGCCTGGAGCCTATTTCGGAGTCTGTATCTCCCTCTCTCTCTGACCCTCCCCTGCTCACGCTGTCTCTCTCTCTCTCTCTCCTAGAAATAAATAAAAAAATATTAAAAAAAAAAATGCAAACCTGACCATGTCACCTCCCCATTTAAGGCATTTCACAACCTTCCCAATGGTCTTAGGATCAAGTCTAGGTTTTTCTTAACATGGTCCAGAACAGTGCTCCTCAATAGCAATATAAAGTGAGCCACGTACGTAATTTGAGATTTTTCTAGTAGCCACATCAGAAAAAGTTTTAATTGATTTTCGTATTTTTATTTGACCCGATATGTCCAAAGCGTATCATTTCAACATATACTCAATATAAAATTGTGAATGAGATAGTATATCTTTTTCTGCACTAAACTTCAAAATCCAGTATGTATTAAATGCTTACAGCACCTCTCAGTTGGAACTAAGCACATTTCAAGTGCTCAGTGACTATATGTGGCTGATGACTGCTGAAGGCACTGAGCAGAGGTAGAAGGTCCCGCATGGTTACACTTCTGCCAGCCTCTCACACCACATTCCACCTTATTCTCTATACTGTGTCCAAGCTCTGAGGCTTCACGCATGTGATTTCTTCTCCTGAAAATGTTTTCCTGCCCTTTTGCTTTGACACTTCTGCTCTAATAATTACACTCTGCCAAAATCACTTAGTATCTTTTTCCCTTTCACGATAAAACTCCATAATGACAAGGACTCCATGAGTCTTGCTCACTGCTCTAGTCACCAGCATTGAGCACAGTGCCTGACACACTGCAGGGGCTCACTAAATTTTGTAAGACTAGAAACAGAGAGGCCTGTGCAGCTTTAGAGAGTGAGAACAATTAGGGAGTTGTTACATGGCATGCAGGGTACAGACAAAGGCAATGAAGAGCTGAAGATTGCCTTTTTCTTATTCCCATCCACCTCTGCTACTGCTAGAAGCATTCTCACTATACCTTTGAAGCTCTTAAAGCGTCACATGGAATTTAGGTTCTCTTCATTGCATTTTTAACTGGGTGGGGAAGAAATCTGATCAAGACATACATATATAGGGCTCACCAAGTCCCTCAGTGAGTCTAAGTGCTCAGCCTGGAATGGCTCTGCTCTGACCCCATCCTTTCTCTTTGGAGGAAATGAAATCAAGGGACACCTTAAAGGAAGCCTTTTCTCTAGAGATATCCCATTAGTAGTGTGTGTGTGTGTGTGTATCTGTCTTAATCCCGTCCTGACATTTTTCTGACCAACTTAAGAACAGGTTGAGCAATGGCTTAGAGTTTGTTTTCAAATAGAAATGCCTCTCAACACGGGTAGCTGGAGAAGAGCCAGGGAAAGAGCGCTGGTCAAATTATAAGACCTGGTATATCAGGGTTCTCCAGAGAAAGAGAATCAATAGGATTCATATAAAGAGATTAGTTATGAGGAACTGCTTCATGTGGTTATGGAGGCTGGCAAGTCCCACTATCTGCAGTGGGCAAGCTGGGGACCCAGGAGAGCCAACAATATGGTTCCAGTCCAAATGGGGGCAATCTCAAGACTCAAAGAGAGCCGAAGTTACAGCCACAGTCAGAAGGCAGGAAAAAAATGAATGTCTCAGCCTGAAGACAGTCAAGTACCAGGTATTTCACCACCCCCCCCCCCCCAGCCTTTTCGCTGTAGTCTGGCCTTCTGCTGATGCAGGAGACCCGCCCACATTAGGGAGGGCAATCTGCTTTACTCAATCCATCTATTCAATTGTTAGTTTCATACGGAAACACCTTCCCAGACACAACCAGAATGTTTGGCCAAATATCTGGACCCACTGTGGCTGCATCAAGTTGACACACGAAGTTAACCATCACACCTGAATTCTGATTGTGGTTAAACTGATAAACTAGTTTATTCCTTGGGAAAATTGCCTTATTCTGCATCTCAGCATCCACTTTTAAGAACAAGGCTGAACACACTTGCTTTTAAGAACAGGGCTGAACACACTTGCTTTATTCAGCTCATAGAGCTGGCAAGCTCAAACAAGGTTCTGTATACAACAGCTCTTGGGAAGTATAATGCATTTTGCACTTCCTGGCACCGTAAAGCACCTATGTATGGGAACATATATATATGACAGTAGATGGATTAGAATTCCCATGTAAGGTGGCCACCTATTTCGGAAAAGGAAAGCCACTCAAAGCTAGGAAGATTAGAGAATTTTGATATCCGGGTTTCCACACTTTTCCCTTTGTATCTAATTATTCGGGTGACCCATTTGCAGTAACTGTCATTACAATTAGACCAGTCTCATGGGAAGGCAAGCACAAAGTGGAAAGCCATGGCTATTTGCAAAGTGTAGCTAAAGCATAGACACTTGTCATTTGATTATAAAGTACACACTTGGACAGAGTTACCACAGAAGCACCCAGTATATGAACTAACTGCCTCTATGGAGTCAGTGGGTGTAGGGAGCTTCCTTTGTTCC